ACACTTACTAGCTGTGTGACCCTGGGCAAGTCACTTAACCCCAATTGCCTAAAAAAAAAAAGAATATTTTAATTGTGAATGGGAAATGTGTACATAACACAATTGGCTAAACAACCAACATCTTAATGAAAGTTATAAATACCCTTAAGTGAAAACATACTTAGTTCTACTACCAGTTAGAGTAAGGCAATATAGGGCCTCTGCTACACAAATCTGTTCAGAATTTCTTAACAAATAACCATAGTGGTAGGGATTTTATTTCTACTGCATTCACATTTTTTTCAACATCATCTGCTTCTTCTACTGCCTTATTATCACTGCAATCATAAACATCTGTGGGTGGACTAGCTATATTGCCTTATCTATGTTAGGAGTAATAGGGTTATCAAATTATCAGAGGTAATAATTTCATGAATCAAGAAAATAAAATACACATATAACATGTAAAAAAATAGCAGACTCATTAATTTCCTATCCACACATTAGTTTTACATTTTAAGTTTCTTTCTTGACTACAGAAGTTAAATCTATTAGCAGATTCACTAATTATTTTCTGTCTACACATCAATTTTATAATTTACCAGTTTCTGTCTTGATTACAGACCATTAATGATCATGTACAGATGAAATTGTGCTACATAATATATTTCAATATTAAGGTTTTACATTTCATACCAGGGTGAACCATAGAGTTTAGTCAACATCTCTGATTTAAGCATAAAATTCAATTTAAACAACTTAAATTTGCCATTTTCAAATCTGGTGTGAGCTCAAGAATAATGAATAACTTTGCTAATTGTCATTTCCTACATTTAGAGAAGTACTGTTTTTAGTTTTACACAGAGCAGATGATCAATCATCAGTGGAATGTGATTTAATAGGGAAAAGGAAAGCTGCTACACCAAAATATCTCCCTACAGTACTTGAATTTCTCCAATTTGTCATACTGCCTGAAATTCTACCAACTAGAGATTAATTTTGGTTTAAAGGAATTTGCACTGCCACCACCCTGTTTTCAGATCTCATTACCTCTAGAGTATACTAATGCATGCACTAGCTTTCTGACCAGTCTCCCTCTCTCTACAATCTAACCCAATCTACTCTATTCACCACTGCTTTATTAATCTTCCTAATGAAGTCTTAATCATGCCAATACTCTATCCAAAAGCATTCAAAGGTATCACATTTCTGACCAGAGTCCAGATCTTAGCCTAGTTTTTAGATTTCTTCAATTTGGGTCGTCCTTTTATCAACATGATCTCATCTCACACAACTTATTTTTGCACTCCTTAAGGTCCAGTCAAATTAGACTATATTGTTCCCTATTCCATTCATCAGGCCTAGTTCAAATGTCACTTCCTCCATGAAGCCTTCCCTGAACCCCATTCTTCTTTGGGCTCCACACTCCTGACTCTTTGGACTTTCCCCACCATACCAAAGCAACCCTTTCACTGTAGAAGTTCATCTGCACTTTCATCCTTCTTATTCTAGAAGTTCACCCTGCCCCTGTAGCACCCTCAAACTGGAAGCTCACTCCTCTCCTAGCCTTTTCACACTGAAAGTACGAACCACTCTCTGTGGTCCCTTCCTCTGATTAGTTGATTCCTCTCAGAATCTCTACATAAACCAAAGGGTCCAAGCCAGCCATATCTTCATTGCTCTCCATGTTCCTCGGCTGACTCTGGACTTCCTCTGCTGTTCATGGCCTTATTCTCTACATCCCAACCACCCCTCACATCCTTTTCAGTTTTCTTTTATGTGATATCTTCTCCATTAGAATGTAATGGGGTAGAAACCCTGGAGGGCAGGGACTGTCTTTCTTTCTCCTTGTAGGTGTATTACCAAAGCTTAGCACAGTTTCAAGTATATGACGGTCAGGTATAATAATAATTGCTGTTACTACTACTAACAAAAATAACAAAAAATAGAAATAACATCTAAATCTCTTTTACAAAACAACTGATAGTCAGTCAAAGCATAAGGACAGTTTACAAAAGAAGCAGAAATGAGCAATAACCATACCAAAAAGTGCTCAAAATTGGTAATAAGGTGAAAATGCTAACTAAAACAACTGAGTTATCATCTCATATCCATCAAATTGGCACAACTGGTAAAAGGTGAAAAAATCCTGGTGAGGTTATGAATTGACTTAAGGGAAGAGAGAGGAGAGGTAGACAAAAAAATGGAAAATAATTAATGAATCTATGAATACTGTCCCTGAAACCAAAGGAATTCTATCAATCCTCACATGCATGCTTGACAAGTATACTCAAGCTTGGTGTATTCAACTCAATTTACAAAACATTTATTAAGCATCTATTATGTACTAGATGGAAGGGGTACAAAATAAAAAACAAAAATAAAATAATCCTTGTCTAATATTAACTTATATTCTACTGGAGGATATACCATTAGGAAGTAAGGGAATTTGAAGTGCATGCAAAGTAATTTAAAGATATTTCAAAGTGAGACAGAGACAAGGAGGGAAGGGAGAAAAGTGGGAGGGAATGGAGAGAGAGAGAGAGAGAGAGAGAGAGAGAGAGAGAGAGAGAGAGAGAGAAACATAATATCAGGAAAAACTTAATGAATTAGGGCCGGGCATGGATCAATAAAACTTGGCAACTGTTTGGATACGGGGACTGAGGGAAAGAGAAGAGTCAAAAATAACTCTATTCTTGAGATCCTGGGAAGGATTTCAACAGAAATGGGTAAATTTATAGAAGGATTTTTTTTTTAAGGAAATACAATTAATTTCATTTTGAACATAATGAGCATGCTATTTCTATAGGATGTCTAGGTTATGTCCAGCAGACAGTTGATAACAAGGTCTGAAGAGAGAGATTAGGGTATGGGGTCTACTTACCTTAGATTGGTGCATTTGAAAACAACTCTAGGCTCCCTTTGCCCTCCTGAGTACAAGACAGTGTTGCTATTCCCAATACCTGTTGCCACCCAGATGTGGCCTGCAAAGTTCTGGGCCAGGGCTGTTTTCTCTAGAACTCTCTCCTATGCTGTTTGGACTCAGAGACCAGGATAGCTGATAAATTGGTGGCCAGTGAAACTCATTAGCATGTGCATCCTTGCTTTTTTTTATACATCTACCACCAATGATTTGTACATTATCAACAAACTTTTTAGTCATATCAAGTCAGAATCAACAGGATTTGGCAACAGTAGGGAGAGAAGGGAGGAGGGTGGTCAGAGACAGAAGAGTTGAGAACGACACCAAGGTTGCAAACCTAGGTGACTGAGAGGTTGACTGCAGTACTCTTGAGGGTAAAAAGAGTTATATTTATGAAGTATGAAACTGTTTTTGTTCCTCAAGTTCTAGAATTAGACTAAATATAAGCATACAGGACAGGGACAAGCAAAGGTCTCTGAGAGATAGGAGGAAAGAAAGATTACTTTTAGTTAAGAGAATTAGGGCAGGCTATATTCCATCATAAATAACCACAATGAGTTTTCCTTGACCTGAAAAGGATGCTCTAAGCATCACAGCTGAAAACCATTAAAGGGCTGTCATGTGAATTTTGCTTCAAGTAATGGAACTTTTAAATGAAGCAGAAAGTTAGATCCATTAGTGATAATTTACTTGTTCATTAAACAAAATGTCCTGCTGTATTTACCTAAACATTTTAAACCCATTTTGAGAACAGTGGCTTCTGTCACACTCAACTGCAAACTGAAATAGCTCCATCAAGGACCACAATCTGGTATATACATTTATAGGTATGGTCATTTGCTACTCAAAATCCCCAGGAAATGTTGCACCCTGTTTTATACCTCACTCTTCTGACAATATTAAGGTCATGGTTCAACTTCAGAAATGTATCTAGTTCATACTTTACTTTCCAGTAAGCAACCTCAACAATTTTAAAGATCTACTGTAAAACTTCATGGATGTATACCACTAGGGATGAAAATTGGAAAAGATTATGGGGGAAAAAGGAAGGAAAAAAGATGTTCCAGTTGCAGCTGGAATAGAGCAAGTTTTAAATCTGGGAAAGTGGTGGCAAATTAAATGTCCAACAATAGGGGAACGGTTAAATACATTGCGGTACACTGATGTAATGGAATACTATAATGTAATTATGATGGACAAGTATGAGGCACATAAAGAAATCTGGAAGCAAGTTTGTGAAATAATGCAAAGCAAAAGGAACAGAACTAGAACAGACTACAGACTAACTGAGACCACATAAAAGGAAAAATAACTGGGAGTAAACAAAGAAAACCAATGGAGACTGAATGAGGAACAGAAACGTTATGACATTTTGGGCTCTTAAAATAATTCATCTAAATGTAAATAGCTGCCAAGCAAGTCAGATTAATTATAGGGATATTTAATATTACTTGTATTTTTTGAATTTAAAATTTTTAACATGAGATTAGAGGGTCTGAGGAAACAAGGGCATTGAAGGAGCTTAGCACAACCTGGTACAGGGCATGGAAGATGTCAAGAGTCTTGGGTTTCGTCCAGGATTTATAGCTGATGCTTTACCAAGGATTAAAAGTGCTGATCAAAGCACTGCACAAGATTAGAGAAAATGGTCATTTCCTTTATTAAGGTGGAGACACGCTGGTCATCATATTCTAGAGAAGCAGTTCTCTAAGTGTGGAATGGGGATCCATAGGAGTCCCCCAGCACGTTTCAGGGGATCTGTAAGGTCAAAGTTATTTTCAGAATACTACTAAAATATATTACTTTGTAATGTGGTAAACATAGATAGACTACAATCTCCAAATCAAAATCTCTTTGGAGTCCTAAATAATTTTTAGGAGTGAAAAGGGGTCCTGAGACAAAAAAATGTGAGAATTACTGATCTAGATAATAATACTTCATCTATTTGAAGGTCATTATTTGGTCATCTCATATTTATTTTGAAATTTCTTTTGTTTATATAATTGAGGTATCTCAATACATTTCCACATTTATCTGAGGATTAAAGAGACAAGAGGAAATATAAATGTCACACTGCCCCAACTATTGGGAATCCTACCTTTCAGCAACAGGTTTGGCAATTATGTCAAAAATGTCCTCTTGTTTTGACTCCTGATCAAAAATCCTCTGAAATCTGCAAATTATAAAGTAATAATGATGAAATAGGACTTTAGAACAGTGTTTAATTGATAAATCTTGTTTTTCTCTTTTGCAATTACCCCACATTTACATCACCAAGCTTCCAAGCTTACCTAACAGAATACAATGTTGGCCCTGTAGTCTTAACCACACTGTGCTGTTGTATACAAATACTTAACAGTATTGCTTTGAAAAGATTTGCACAATAAATCCCTCTGAACAAACATAGTAGCAAAAAAAAAAAAAAAACAACTCTGTGTGTGTCTGCTCTCAAGAGAAACAGTGTCTGCAATTGACATCAAATTCAAATCCAGATAATACAAGAAAAAAAAATCTAAAAACAAGATAAAAACAGAACAGAATGCTGGATTTCTGACCTGTAAGAAAGCAATTATAAAACTTGTGGTTATTAAATTTAGGTTAAAAAGATAAATTTAATTGATTTTTAGCAATTAGTTATCAGATCCTAATATTAACCACTTTTTCAGCAATGTTTTATTTTTTTTTAAATCAGCAGCTAGTCTTTTGAAGAAGATGACCTTGATTCTCGACCCACAAATCAGAACAGGCTAATGCAAACCTAGAAAAGAAAATCCTTAGAAAGTTTCTATCAGGAAAAGAAAGTACAGAAAAATAGTTCATTAGGCAATTCCATTATACCAATCATTTGCCCAGGAACATAAGTCTTTGCTGTTGGGACATGATGAGGAAGAAAACTTGGGAATACCAGATTTTTATATCCTGGAAAGCTTCTACTAACATGATCCTACTAGAACACTATAACAGTTACCCAAGCAGCTTTCAGGGTTGCTTAGAAACATTGGGTCTCCATGGTTTTTTGGTATCAACCACCCAGTCTGAATTGGGCACAATTCCACTTAAAGCAGAAAATCTAAGAGGAATACAGAAGGAGAGTTTTCTCCCAAAGGTCATTCTAGAGGTTTGCTATGCCCTAAGGAATAAAAAGAGAAGATAAAAGGATGGATTAATCATCCAGAGATGATTATATAAAATGTATTAGATGATATATAATAGTAGAATTCCAAAAATATAAGTAGCTCATATTCCAGAAGAATATGTTGTAAAATATTATCAATAAAGAGGCCACAAGGTATCCAAACTACTACTCTGAATTAAGATATCAGATTAAATTGAAGGCAGCAACAGTTACTGGACATTTATTGTGTGCAGAACACTACACAAAGCCCTTTAAGAGGCTATTCTAGTTTAAGATTATAAATTACTTATTTATGATATATTTTAATTATATGTTTAAAGGCTATATTTCCCCAGTAGAAAGTAAATGTCTTAAAGTCATAAACTCTTATTCTGCCTTTAAATTGACATCACCTTCAGTGCCTAACACAGAGAAGGCACTTAATAAATGCTTGTCAAATAGAAATTTACTAACTGAATGCTGGAAATAATACTTATTACTGCCTATGAGTTACAAAGACCTTATATTATGTACCGAATCAGGTAAAGAACCTAACCCCTAGCCAATGAACACCTAATCAATGTCTCTAGCACACCTCCTCATACACATCCATAAAGTAGCTCATGTACTCATGAAGGAAAAGGAAACTCTCTACTCATTCAGAGAGAAGCAAGCAGGAACAGTATGGATCAAAAAATTCAAAGGTAATCCTAGTCTCTCAGTCTACTTTTTTCTCATATACTTGAGAATATATTATTTATCCCATGACTTTCAAAGAATTAGCTGCCAGTTAAGAACGGAAGTAATTTCACAAGTAGTAAGTAACGGCATCTTAAGTATAAAGTTTGGGTGCTCATTTTATATATGGTATCATAATTTTTATAAGATCAATAGTCTTTAGAAAATCAGTGAATAGCCAAAATTCAAAACATAGCATACCACAGAATAGAACAGAAAAGAATAAAATAACAGACTAGAAGAAAACAATTTAAAAGTGTGAGAAGAAAAAATTTGAACCTACTTAAATTTGTAGCTTTCTCGTTTATTATTCACAAATCCTTCTGCTAAATCACGTGGTAAGATAATTTCCAATGCAGCTACTGATTTTTCATCTTCATCTACAGAATAGATCTGCAAATATGAATGTAATTTTAAGAAACCATAACAAATTATACAAAGAGAATACAGTATATAACCACAGCATCAACGCACACATTTTTAATGGGATCAATTTTTTTCTAAGACCAGAACCAAAAAAAAGTATAATTGGTACAATTCTCCTTCCCCCAACAAGTATGTGGACTCCAGTGAATGTTCTGTAATCTCCAACAAGTAATAATGATAATGATAACAGCATTTATATAGTACTATAAGATTTATAAAATGCTAACAATGATAGCTTGATATTATTGAAAGGAAAACTTCATTTGCGCTTTCACCCTGATTAAGGGCAAAACTCAGGACAAAGAGATTTAAAAGGATTTTATTCTAAGTATGTCAACAGGGCTGATCACTCAAGATCAGTATTGGCTTCAAGATAGGGACAGTGTTTATAAGTAACTTTTAAGACAATTCAGGTCCACCTCAAGTACCTCTCAAGTACCTCTCCAAGGTAGAACAATTTGAAGGTAGGGGAATGTGACAAAAAGCAGGTGATACAAAAGGTTGTAGACTTAGTGTCTCCTTCCCCACCAGAACCTCACTCAACACTGACTGATAAGCAGGGCTGGGAACAATGGGCCGCTAAGTCAACATAGCTTTAGACAATACTCACAATAACCCAGTGAAATGGGATTATTATTCTCATTTTACAGTTGAGGAAATTGAGGCTGAAAGAGGTTAAACAACCTGTCCACATCACACAGCTAAGTGTCTGAGGCAGGATTTGAACTCAGGTCTTCTTGATCTATCTATCACCTACATTACAACTCTGTATGTGACTATTGTGAACATACATAGTCCTGGAGGCATAGTCCCTGAACAATACAAAGCCCAGGCAGGGTAAGCAGACAAGCTGACTTTAGTAGATAGAGATGAGATTGGAAAGGAAATACAGATGAGAAACAGAGAAGAAATAGGTGACAGATTTGAGAAGAAATATAATTGGACCCTATGCCCCAAAATCTCAGTACTGATACTGGTAAAATGTATCATTATAATTGCATTCCACTCAATATTAAAAAATTAAAATTAAAAGTTTTTAAAATATACTCTATTAAAATGCAAATGACCCAGGTCATATCTGAAGTAAAAACTCATAAACCAAAGTCAATCAATAAATATTTATTAAGTGCTTACTATGTACAAAGCATTGGGGATAGGAGAGAAGTAAAAAACACTGTTTCTTCTCTCAAGAAGTTCACATTCTGTTAGGGAAGAGAATATGCAAACAACTGTGTACCTACAATATAAACAAAGGAAGAGGAGGGTAATAAAGTTAACATCAAAGGGAAGACCCTAGCATGGGAGGGTGGAGAGAGGATCAGGAAGGTTCTCCTGCAGAAGGAAGGATCTAAGCTGAGTCTTGAAGGGATGCCTAGGGGAAGAAACAAGAGAAAAGAGATGGGAGTGCAGTTCAAGCATGAGAGACAGCCAATAAAAAGGTATTCTATCAGGAGATGGAATGTCATGTGAGGAACAGCAAGGACAGTGTCACTGGACTGTAGAGGAGGGAGAAGGGAGTTATGGGTAAAAAGACTAGAAAGGCAGGAAGGGGCCAGGTTGTGAAGGACTATAAAAGCCAGATGATTTTTTAATTGGATTCTAGAGGAAATAGGAAGTTAATGGAGTTTATTGAGTGGGGAAGGGGAGGTGACAAAGTCAGATCTCCACTTTAGGAAAATCACTTTGGCAGCTGAGTGGAGGAAAGACTGACAAAGCCAGAGATTTGAGGGACATGGGCCAAGTAGAAAGCTACTGTTACAGTTCAGGCATGAGGTGATGAGAGCCTGCCCCAGAGTGTGAATGGAGGGGGCCATGTATGAGAAATGTTGTAAAGGTAGAAGCAATAAGACTTGGCAACAGATTGGATATGTGAATAAATGAGAGTGAGGAGTCAAATACGACACCAAGATTGTAAGGATGCCCTCCACAGTGATAGGTAAGTAAATGGTTAAGACAAGGTGACGGTTTGGGGAGAAAGATAGAGGTTCTACTGTGGACATGTTGAGTTTGAGATGCATATGGTAAATCCAATTCAACACGTCCAAAATGAAGTTAATGATGTGAGACTAGAGCTCAGGAGAGAGAAAGGGGATGAATAAATAGATCTAGCAGTCATGTGCATAGAAATAATAATGAAACCCATGGGAATTGGTGAGATCCTCAAATAAGATAGTAAGATGGGGAAGAGAAAAGGACCCAAAACAAACCCTTGGGCGATACCCACGGTCAGTGGGCATAACATAGGTGAAGATCCAATCAAAGAGACTGAGATCAAAGAGGTAGGAAGGAAAACAAGAAGATCAGTATTGTGAAAATCCAAAGAAGAGAGAGTATGCAGAAGAGAGTGATCAACAGTGTCCATGTCATAATCCCATCTCTTCTAAAGAAGAATAATCATCAATTCTACCCTTACTTCCTCAAGAACTCATTTTCTGAGTTAAGTGGAAAACAACAACAACAACAATGTACCTAGAGCCAGAGGACATGGGTTCAAGTCCCTGGGCATTTACTGTATGTGATTTTGGGCAAGTCACTTAACCTCTCATCTATAAAATGAGGGGGTTGGACCAGATGCCTTTTGAGATCTTTTCCAGCTCTAGACTATGATCTCATGAACTTCTGTGACCTTAGGCAAGTTACTTAGCCTCTTTAAGCCTCAATTTCCTCATCTCTCCAAAAACTAAAAAAAAAAGAAAAGAAAAAAAGAACAATATTAGCTCTAAGGTCTTTCCCACCTTTAAATTAATGATTCTATAACTCATATTGTGAGCCCTGCCCTCTCTACCAACAAAAAACACAAGATACACACACACACACACAAACACACACACCTTGGTCATCTGAAAACGAATTTCAAATTTTTAAAAAAATATATTTCCCCCAGAGGTCAGGTAGGAGATGGGTGACTTTTATCAGGTAACACTCTAGCCATCAGTTTTAGTGTTCTAACAAAGATTAGCAGCGACATACAGAAGTCTAGAAAGGGAGAACTTAAACAATGGTTGGCTCAGCACTTCTGCCTCACTAAAGGAAACATTGAAATGCCAGATAAAATCCTTCCCACTTCACAATTTTGCCTAGAAGCCATCTCTACAAGCAACATGATTTGTTGCTTTCAACTAAATCCCGAGTAGAATAGAGCTACAAATAATTTAAGTCTGCTCTCAATAGGTCTTAGGCATTTGCTGATAGCTAAGTCCTTCTCTTGGTTGCACTCCAAACAACCAAATCATTTCTTAAACATTTTATGGTCAAGTCAGAAGAAATTCTGATTTGTTAAAAAGTAGAAAAAAGGAGATGGTAGCAAGTTCTTTCCTCCTTTGTACCTATAGTGGTTTCTACTTCATATATGTGAAGTGGAAAAAAATGTTTAATATAATAAAACATTTTTTCTAAGGGAATCAAAAAGGATTGACAACAATTCATTAAACATTATAATACCTCCTGTCATATACATAGAAGATAATATTCTTTCACATTTTACAGGTAAACTGAAACATTATTTACCCAAATATTCACTCTCAAATCAGAGAATTAGAATTAGGGATCTATCAAAACCTCTACAAGACAATTCAGAGCGCAAATCTGAACGTCTCTCTTTTCAGAAGACTCATGCCACCCTGTAGCTAAAATGTTACTTAGATAACACTCTGTGTCAGTAATTCAAAATATCCTTTGTTCTGACAAAATAGTTTCCATGTTGTATTTTACAGAATCTATGGCTTCTAAGACACATCCTTAGGGATTCCTTAAGAAAAATTATGGTCACGGAAGTTGGGTTTAATTTGTGTCTCCAAAATCATCTTTAAGGTTCTTGTTTCCACTCTACCACAAAGTAATAATATGCTATTTCTCAAATCACTTCTCAGAAAAATGAAGGGGGTGGACAAGATAATTTTTAAGGACTCTTCCAAGTCTCAACACTCTATGATAAGATATTAGGTTGGTATTTTTAATTCTTTACCCCAATGTTCCTCTCCACTGGCCAAGGAAATCAAGAGAAGAAGCAACCTAGCAAAAGCTCCCCTTCTTCTAGCCAGAAGTAAGATTTCCCAAAAGCAATGGCTTAAGTTTCTTTTGGTAACTTAAATTTTGAATTCTACATTAAGGGCGAAGAAGATCATATCTACAGTATGCATAAGTAAAGTCTCCCTAAATCCTCAGGTAGCCCAGCTGATTTTTTCAAAGCATATTTTTATTGAAATTTCTCATTAAAAGTGTTTAGCTTTCATGGACAAAAGTCACCCTGTAAGATAAAAATTCTTTGCAGAAAGAACTGGCACAAGGTTCAGAGCTGTCTGACCATGTTTTCTCAGTATATATTTAAAAAAATTAATAGGGTACTTCATGTAAAATGGGCAGTGGCTGAGGCAGGTGAATGAAAGAAGTAAAAAATTCATGAGACATGAAACACACTGGACTAAGAATTGGTGCCTAATTAAGAACGTATTCTGGACAGCACAAAGGCCTTAAGGACTTAAAGTAACCACAAGTCATCAGATGATTGAAAGACACAATTCTAATTCTAATTCTTCTAAACCACTTTGACCAAGTCATTTTGGGAACAATTTTTTAAAAATAAATATCCTTTAATAAAAAAATTGTTTTAAACTTAACTGGTCTAAAGTAAAGAGTAGATGATAATACTACCTTCCTCACAAGGCTATAGTGAGGATCAAATGAAATAACTTATATGAAGCACTGTATAATTACAAAGCACCACATGAATTTGAGTTATTTTTAAGTGTCAAATTTCTCACCCTTGGCTATCACAAATAAACAAGCATTTTGAGCATGGTAATTTTCCTTTATAATATATGTCTTCAATATATTCAAAGAAGTAAAAAATTATCTTTTAACAAAAAGATCAAATTAAATAATAGATGTGAAACATCTGAAATTTATAAAATACCATACAAATGTATGATAACCTCATTATTAACTTGCCAAAGAGCATCCAACCATTTCTAAACTGAAATAAACCTTGGTCTTTATTGTTTCTCTGGTTTGCCATATCTTCCTTCTCATTCTCCATCTGCTAAATTCCTAATTTTCCTTTGAAACCTAACTTAACCTAACCTGCCTTCCTTGATGCCTAGGTTGGTAATGACCTTCCCTTTCAAACCTCATGACAAATCTTTTGCTTCTCTTGAATGCAATTACCATGTAATATTGTATATTATAGGTATCTGTGAGTCTTATTCTCCTACCAGACTCTAAGCTCCATAAATATAAAGAGCATGTCTTATTTAAATGTTCTCTCCCACCTCACCCTTCTTTACTAAGTACAGTATTCTGCACAAAGTACATCTAGTAAATGTTTACTGAATCACTGGATTGTTTTTGTATCACTAATTTTACAGCATCTGAGACAAAAGAGAGATGGTGTTTTAGGAGAAAGGGAGAAGTCCTTACTCAATCATTCTTGCTTTAATAATAATAAAAGCTCACATTTATATAGCACTTTGCAAAGCACCATATCCTTTCTTTTGATCCTTACAACACTGTGACGTCAGTGCTATAATTACTTCCATTTTATAATGAAAAAATTAAGGCTAATTGAGGTAAAATGACTTGTCTGGAATCTCATCTCTACTGAGTAAGAGATGAAGGAATTCAACTCAGATCCCACTCATTCCAATATCAGCACTCAATCCACTATATCAGTGGTATCAAGCTCAAAATATAAATGGGCACCATTAATCCACACATGAGGATCCCTGCAGGCCTCATACTGAATTAGTTTTAAATATAATATTATCTATGTTTAATTGTATTTTTATTTATTTTGTTAAATATTTCTGAATCACACTTTAATTTGGTTCAGGCCCACTTGGGAGTGTTGTGGGCTGTGTTCAACATCTCTACAAAAACAAAGTATGGATATATCTATATTGATACAGATATACATGTGTGTATGTGAGTATGGATTTATATATCTACATCTGCAATGGTATAGATGCATGTGATTTGCAAAGTGCATTATCTTTTTATGATACTCACAACCACCCTTTGAGATAAGGGCTATTATCTCCATTTTACAAATGAGGACACTGAGACTAAGACAGGTTAAGTGACTTGCCTAGAATGATACAGCTAATAAGTGTCTGAGGCTGGATTTGAACTCAGTTCTTCCTGAGCCCAAGTCCAGGATATGTGGGTGTATATGTATGCATTTTAACATATGCATACATATAGGCATACACATAATACACATTTGTATATATCTGTATGTTTATTTTATATGTATACATATATGTGTATGTAAAAGATTACATATATGTGTGTGTACACATACCAACAACACCTACAAGAATATATAGTAATCCCTACCAGATGACTGACAAGTATGAGAGTGTTGCAGGGAGTAGGAGGAAGTTGAAATTACAGAATGTTATGGGGAATGAAACAGAAACAATGAGGTGTTAAATTATTTAAACTAAAAGCAAAAAAGGTTTTAAACTTTGTTACTCTTTTGCAAGGAATGAAAAAAATTAACAGTCAAGTCTGATGGAATTAGAAAGCTGGCAGGAAAGTGAAAAGATGCCACAGCCCAAACTGATTCCTACCCTTGAAACCCTACTACAAAAGCCAACCTTTTGTTGGCAAAAGGATGTAGTCATAAAATATGGGATCTCTGAGGGGGAGCCATCCTATTACCCACAGTATCTAAGTAAACAAAAATGTTGGAATTTCCAATCATATTAGTCTTTCAGTGAGAATATGAAGTTAAATAAATATAGAAAATGCTAATATTCTAATAAAATACCTAGTGAAAAGAGTATGGGTTGACATGATCAAATGGCATCCATTTCCATGTGGCTAGACAATATTAATGATGAGCCTCTCTGTACTTAACTAGGTTGATTCACAGACAGCAGACGATCTGTTTCTGAGACCATACTCAAAGACTTTCTGACTTGGAGCTTATGCTCTACTAGCATAGCTTTCATGAACCCAGGATCACCTCCACACCTTGGGAAAAGTCTTAGAATATAACTTTGTAGAGGAAAAATTTAAATGCTCAGTACAAGATTTTAAAATTATTTCAATATCTATTCCCTCTCCTTCACTTTGGAAATAAGTAGAGTTAAAAATAACATTTATGAATAGTGCAAATACTCTCACCAAAGTAATGAAGCATGTAAAGAAACTCAGCATCACTTTATAGAAAGGGAAAAATTAAGCATTGAGATGTGGCAGAAGGTTCAATATTAAATCCATGGCTATTATTTAGCATCTTATCCAACACAGCAAATAGTGCCTCTCACTAAAATTTCCTTTTTCTGGCCCAAACTCTTCCCTCCAGTAGTAAATAATTTTCTGTGTATAATTTATAGTAGTATTTTGACTTAAGAAACAAATTAGCTTCACTCCTGACTCATTTTTTTTAACCACCTGGAAGTATGTGTTAAAAAAAAAAAGAGAGAGAGAGACAAAGGAAAACACAGCAAGGCAGAATAGAGCAGGAGTCAGAGGGCCTGGGTTCAAATCCTAACTGAGGTATTCATTTATTGTGTGACTGGGGAGCAAGTCCCTTCACTTCTTGGTTTCTTTAAAAATGAAGGGGCTGGACTGGATGACCTCTAAGATGTCTTATAGCTTCAAACCTGTGTGGTTACCCCCATATTCTATATACCCTGTAATTTTCCTGGAATGATCTAGTTTTATGTCTTACTTGAGCGTAACAGAGCCTGTCACCTAAGCTATTGATATGACTTATCAACAAAATGATAAATTAGTGAATAGTAACGCTAGAATCCATCTATTCATTCTCAGTACAAAAAAAATGGTTCTATATTCGGGGTAAATGTTTCTGTCCATTTGTGTAATTGGAACAACTGGAAAACATGGAAACATTCCTAGTTCCAAGAAGCTTCAATTCTATTGGGGGAGACATATACATATATACAAGATAGATTCAACATAGTTTAGGGAGGGAAGGCATTAGTAATAGAGGAAATCAAGAAAGAGACTTCAATAGAAGGTGGTGCATAAGTTGAGTACTTAATAAAATAAAAGTTACTTTGCATAAACATCATGTTCTCTATATTTGTTTTAACTTAAGGTATATGCATATAGATACATGTACACATATGGCAACGTCTCTATTCAGTCAGCAGTATTTGCTGAGTGCCCCACTATGTGCAAAAACACTTTGTATATGTATGCATCTACTCTGCACCTAATTTATACATCTTCTGCACTTAAGTCCATGTCTCCCTAGACATAATACAACCTCCACAAGGTTGAAGACTTTCATTTTTCTATTTGTATTCCTAGTGTCTAACACAAGCACATAGTAGATACTTAATATATGTTTAAAGATTTAGTGGTGACATATTTATGACTGCTTATAAGCATATTTGTCTGTATACATGTATTTAAATAATTATTTTGCCTGAGTGTGTAAAAATATGTGTGTGTAATACAAGTAGAGGTCGGTTTTATAGCAACAAATAAGTATATAATGTAGCTGGATATGGACACAAAAGAGGAAGCCAGATGGTTCAGCGGATAAAGTGCTATACTTATAGTTAGGAAGACCTGAGCTCAAATATTGCCTCAGATACTTTCTATGTGACCCAGACCAAATGACTTAACCTCTGCCTCAGTTTCTTCATCTATAAAATGTAGGTGGAATGAAATATTTGTAAAGTACTTTGCAAACGTTAAAGCACTAAAGAAATGCAATTATATACATATACGCATTTGTATATCCACGTATATACATAGAGGCAGTGTGGCTAGAGGGGGTATACTGCTGGGCTAAGAGTCTGGTAAAACTGGGTTTGAATTCTGCAGGACGCTCACACTCCTGCACCTCCCCCATCCTCCCACAAGCACTCTGGTTTTTGTCTTCGTGTGTCTCAAGTGTAGACACGACTTAGCTGATAGTCAGTAGGTCTGCGGTCTTGTTCTTTGTCACTAACTTATCCAAGGTCGCTTTGAGCAAAATCCTGAGGTCATAGGGATCATAAACTTTGTTAGAGCAGGAAGAGAATTTGGAATTCATCTAGTCCAACCGTTTTAGACCCCAAAGTGACTTACCTGCTCAGGGAACACATGCAGCAAGTGCATTTCACAGACGAGAAAATGAAAACCAGGGAAATTAACTGTCCTGCCCAAGGTCACATAGGATTTAAATGGAAGCTCTCTGGTTCCAAATCAGTCATTCTTTTCGCTGCACCACTATTATTATTACTATTATTATACAATAGGGGGAGGGGGAGGGACTAAATTGTCCCTAAAGTCCCTTCCAGCCCTGACATTACCCTTTTGTGCCTGTACAGCGTATGTAGGAGATTCGTGTCTTGTAAGTGTGACTGTCTGTGGGGTGCATCACTGGAAGGGGGCTCACGGGGCTCCCTGACACCCTGACACCCCGCCCTGGTCCCCTCTTCCCCTCCAATGACCCCAGGAAGGCTGGCACGGCGGGGGGCACTTCACCCTCTCCCCAGCCCCGTACCCCTTGAGGTTGTTTCCGGCTGGTGGGCTTCACCCTCGCGAAGATCTGGATCGTTTGCTTAACCATCTCCCCCTCAGCGCCCCGGTACAACACTCCCAAATCCGCGTTCCCTCTTCACCCACGCCCGCAGCCTTAGCAACAGGAACCATGGACACTACCCAGCATGCCCCGCGGCGGCCAGCCAACCCCCGCCTCCTCTGTCTAATTGGCTGGATGTGGCGGACAGAGGACTGGGAGAACTACGCGGGGTGGGAGGGAACCCCCCCCCCGGCCAACGCGCAGGCGCGGAAGGGAAGGCGTCAGTGAGTCTTGGGTCTAAGTGGTTGCTAGGAGACTGGAGCGCTGATGTGTTCAGAGGATCCAGAATCATGGCTTTAGAAATGGACCTGCTTGTCTCTCCACACCTGCCCAGGGACTCCTAAATCCCTGGTCACATAGCAACGGGTGCTGACTCCCTATTCTTCATCCCAAGGCATAAATCCAGCAGGTCACTTAAGTTTCCCCCAAGGTAAAACGTGAGACAAGTGGTCTCACAGCTTTGTTCTACTTTTCTTCTCTGACACTGCCTCTCCTCTGACAGTGGTCCAGTCCCTCATCTTCTCACACCCAGACTATTGCAAAAGCCTTCTGACTAATCTCTCTGCCTCTTCTGTCCCCACTCCAAACCACCCTCCACTCAGCTGTCAAATTGGTCTTCCTAAAGCGCACTTTAGATCTGACCATGTTTACTCGATAAACTCCAGTGACTTCCTATTACTTCCACGATTAAATAACAAATCCTCTATTTGGCTTTAAAAGCCCCTGACAACCTGGTCCCTTCCTACCTTTCCAATCTTCTCGCACTTTACTCTTCTCCATGTACTCCATAATTCAACTACAATGACTTCCTTGCTATTCCTCACACAGGATACAATACACTCCCACCTCCCTACCTAGGGTGGAGTGCTCCATTCCTCATATCTGCCTCCTGGCTTCCCTAGCTTTCCTGACTTCTTTCAAGTCTCAGCTAAAATCCCATCTTTTACAAGAAGCTTTTCCATGCCCCCCTTAAAGCTAGCTCCTTCCATTCTAAGATTATCCACAATTTATCCTGCATATATCCTGTTTGTACGTAATTATTTGCATATTGTCTTGAGGTCAGGGGTAGTTTTTGCTTTTCTTTGTATCCCTAAGCACTAAGCATGGTGCTTGGAAGTAGAAAGCTCTTAATTAATGCTTGTTGACTATCTTACATGCAAGTAGAATGTACGATTCTTTGATTCCAAACTCCTAGCCCAGGGCATTGCTCCTATGGATCCTGGAAGATACCTATCCCAGGAAGGCTCAACTATGGCATAGAAACAATAGAGTTTGAGCAGCTGCCAGGAGAATTCTGGTGAGAGCAGATTTATTTTAGCCTGAAAGTTACCTTTGAAGAGAAAGGATAGGCTTGAATCTGAGCTCTGCTTTTTAATAACCATATGACCTTAGGCAAGTCATAGTAGGATAGGATTTAGAACTGGATGAGACTATATCTAATTTTGGGTTTCAGTTTCCTCCATTGTAAAATGAAAGTGTTGTACTAAATCAGGAGTTCTTAAACTAGGGTCCATAATCTTATTTTTAACAATATTTTGATAATTTTATTTCAACATAAAATCAGTTTCCATTGTAATCTTACATGTTTTATTCTATTAATTTAAAAACATTCTTCTGAGAAGGGGTCCATAGGCTTTACCAGAATGCCACATGGGTCCATGAAAGCAAAAGTGGTTTCAAACTCCTAATCTATATGATCTTTAAGGTCTCGTCTAACTCTGACATTGGCTCTATGATCCTTTAGAGTTTTGCCCCCCTGCATAATCCTCACAATAAAGAAGTCATTTGCCTAGCTCTTTAGGGAAAAAGCTAAGGATAAATGTCAAGCTGATGACTTTCTCTGTATCAATTAGTCCATAAGTGCAGCTGGAAAGAACCATACAATGAAGAATGAAAATGGAAATCCTAAATGAAATGTAACTGACAAAGCCCAAAGCCTAGAACTAGTGAGAAAGTCATACTGTAGTATAGAAATAGTTTAGTATAGTGTAGGGAGTATAGTAAGCTATATGCCCAAATGGCCTCACTATTACTACCTATTAATAATAATGTAGTATTTATATAGTGCTTTCAGATTTGTGTGAAGAGCTTGGAGGTAGGTAATATTATTATCCCCACTTCACAGTTGAAAATGTGGTAGGCAGAGGCTAAGTTACCATATTTTGCCTCATAACTGTCAAAGATTTTATGCCAATTTTTTTTTTTTGCAAAAAAGTGGTATATGACCATTATGTGAAACATTTTTAAAAATTGTGCCAGTGTTACTTAAAAATCATTTATTACTCAACTATATCACTGGCAGATGAATGATATAGTTTAAGTAGCACAGGGAGATATAAGTCTTACCCTTATCACATGGCAGCTTCTCCAGGCAGCTTCGCCTGCCTGCCGCTCCGCTTGTGCCTATGGCTCTTCATTGAGCTAAGTGACAATACCTAGTACTGCAGAGCTCTAAATAAACCATGCAAGTTGGCTTTTAGAAAATATATTGACAATGCTCATGTGTTGAGAATTCTAGGCTCTCAGCTCACAATGCTTGAGGGAAAATGAGTATCCATATGCCACTTATGAATATATTGCTGCTCTGTTTACCTTTTAAGCAGCATAATGAACAGAATTATACCATGTAATGATTATGCAATGAAAGATTATAAGTCAATTTTTGGACTGAAAACAAAACAAAACAAAACAGGGTGCAACAATTATGCAGTGAAATATACTATTTGCCAAGGGTCCCACATCTAGTTAAATGTCTGAGGCTGGATTTGAACTCAGATCTTCTAAAATCCAGGTTCAGTGCTATTCACTACACTACCTAATTGCCTATAGTATACTAATACAAACACCATAGAAAGAAGAAAAGAAGGGAGAAGGCACATATTGCTTTTGACCTATGCTGGCCATACTCAACACTGCCTGCCACAGGAGACAAGAACTGATTGAAAGAACACTTGTAATAATTGATTAGCTCCCAATCAAGGAATATATTAGTAAGGTAAATTCATGATTCCTATCCAACTAATTTACTCAAATGAGAGGCAGTATGTATGGTGAGAAGTATACTGGATTTGAAGGCAATAGATTTCAGTTTTAATCTATACTTTGCTACTTGTACTCTGTGTAATCTTGGGTGCATGTCATTTAACCTCTCTGTACCTCAGTACCTTCATCTATAATATAAGGGGGTTGAATGAAATGATCTCTAAGATCCCTACCAGCTCTAAATCCTATGATTCCATGACTCATTTTCTTCAGCTCTGACCCTGTAGATTCCAGAATCCACTGGGGAGACGTGGGCTTTCCTACGTGTATGAGCTAGAGGCAGATAATTAATGGAGTCCTGAATATAGGAAAAAGAAAACAGGTGCTTGCTTTGGCAGCACATATTATAAAATTGGAATTATACAGAAAAAATTAGCATGGCCTCTATCCTATGATATGCAAATGCATAAAGTGTTCCATATTTTTGAGCCCCAAAACATGTTGTTTAAAAGAGTTGAAACAAAAAAAAACTCACATGGAGTTAAAAATGAGGGACTAGAGCAGAATTTATAGATTCAGATGAACTAAAAAAAAAGCAGAAGTAACAATTATAATCTCAAACAAGACAACAGTAAAAATAGTTATGATTAAAGAGATAAATAAAAACTACCTTATGCTTAAAGACATGATAGACAATGAAATAATATTGATAATGTATATGCATGAGTTGTATAACATCTAAGCACTTTTTGAAAATTAATAAAATTACAGGTTAAAGTGGGCAGCAAAACTGTAATAGTTGGGGGACCCTTTCAGACCTAAACAAATGTAACAAATAAAAAAAAGAAAGAAAAGAAAAATGAGAAATAACTTAAAGCCCTAAATAGAACTTTGGAAAAATTAGTTATGATAAATGTCCAGCAGTACTAAATGGAAATAGAAAGGAATGTACATATCTCAGCTACCTGTGGCCCCTTTAAAAAACTTAATCATGTCCTATGACCAAAAAAAGAGCCACATAAGCACTGATGAATAAAAACATAAGGCACATCTCCTAATGACCACAATGCAATAAAAATTAAAATTGATAAAAGTCTTTTGAAGAAAGTATCCAAACTTAAATGGAGACTAAATGACAACTTTAGAGAATTGGTGAGTCAAAGAACATACCAGAGAAACAATGAATAATTTAATCAAAGAAAGTAACAAAAATGAAACAAAAAAAGTCCTCAGGGGAAATTTTATATTTTTAAACACTTTTATCAACAAAAGAGAAAAAGAACAGGCCAATAAATTTGATATGCAACAACAACAACAACAACAAAACTAGAAAAGCAAAAAACAAAAAGACAAATGGCAACTAAGCACAAAATAAAAATATTTTAAAATCAAAGAAGAGATTAATAAAATTGAAAGTCAAAAAGAACCGATATTGAACTAAGTAAAACACAGTGCTAGTATTTTATGAAAAAAGCTCATAAAATAGATTAACTGTTACCTAATTTTACTTTTAAAAAAAAGAAAGCCTTATTATCAATATTAAAAAGGAAAAGGGGGAATTAATAACACATGAAGATGAAAAAAGGAAATTATTAGAAACTAGTTTGCCCAGCTAAGCTAATAAAATTGATAATAAATAAAATGACTGTGTATTTACAAAAATATGAAATATCCAGATTAATGGAACAAGAAATAGAGAATTTTAATAATCCAATCACTGAATTTTCCCCATTAAGAACTCAGAAACAAATGAATTTGCAAGTGAACTATACCAAACATTCCATTCTAATATTATATAAACTGTTTTCAAAAATGAGAAGACAGAGGCTTCTGGAGGTAGAGACAAGAAAGAGTGGAGAAAGCACTCAATTGAGCTCTTCCAACATTTCCCTCCAAATAACCTTAAAATAATGCCTCAAATCAAATTCTGGAGTGGAAAAACCAACAAAAGGTCAGAGTAAAACATTCTTCCAGCCCAAGACAACTTAGGAAATCAGAAAGACAGATCTTTGACAACAGGAGAAGACTGCCCTGAAGCTCACATGAAAGAAACACCAGTGCTGGGTCTAGGTGGTAAAGACAAAAGTAGCTTCAGCTTCAGAAGCTCTCAAGTCAGAGACAGTGAGGGAACATGGCAACTAGTCAGAAAGAGATTATGGTCCTGAATGCAGGATCAGATACTGGTTGGCAACTTCATTGCTTATACCCACTTCTGGGTCATAGTTCAAGGGCAAAGAGGAGCACTTTCAGTCAAGAGAGATTAGAAGTGCTGAGGGACAATTTTACTTCTGGCCCCAAAGGATCAGGGACCCTGAGGACCAGTATTATTTCTGGTCCTATGGGAACAAGTTCCCTGAGGAGGAGTATTGATTTAATCCCAAAAGATCAGGAACCCAACCTGAGTAAGGACCAGAGTGCAGACCAAATGAGCAGTGATCACACCTCTCCCCAAATCACACCATCTTGGAAGCACCAAAAATTCCCAGAATTAGTTCTGAAAACAGCAGTGCAAAAAAGCCTGAAACTTGAGACCCCCTACACACACACATACTCATACACATGCATACGTACATGGAAAAGGGCCCAATTTTAACATGAAGTTCAAAATCAGGAAATAGGGTGGAAAAACTGAGCAAAAACAACAACAACAACAACAAAAAGAACCCAACCATAGAGAGCTGCTATGGTGATCGGGAAGATCAAGACACAAAATCAAAGGAAACAATGAAGTCCAAACAGTTATAAGCAAAGCCTCAAAGAAAAAACATGAATTGGGCATAAGGCAACAAGAATTCCTGGAAAAGCTTTAAAAATGCTTTTTAATAGAGGACCAACAAAATGCTTTTTGATAGAGGAAAAATTAGGTAAAGAAATGAAGGGAAGAGAAAAATTATGAAAAGACATACTTGTTGCTTATCTTTCATTTTTATAGAGGACCAATCATCACAAGGTGATGTTTTAACTTGCAAATGAATTAGATTTAAGTGAGGCGGAGTTGCATAAAGTCATCAACCTCATTTCTCTCCCAGAGTCATTAAAGTCCAATGGCAAGACAAAAGTCAAGGTGACTGGTGATGGCCCAGGAAGGAGTGGATGACTTTGGGCATGTTTGGCCAAGCTCTAAGTGCTCCATAGCACATCTGTCTTCAAGGCCTTTGGAACAAATTCTTCCTATCTGCCCATTCCTCTGGAGGAAATCTTCATATGCTTGGGGTAAGCACCCCTCTAACTCACTGAAGGTTTAAGGTCTGTAGATTATTCTAAGCCTGGTTCAGCCTATTTGCCAAGATGGTTTACTAGGGTGTGGCCACTGAACATGATACAGCTTCTTAGAGCCATAGGTGAGAGCTGCATGAGAAGTGTTAATAGTTTGGTTTTATATACATATATATATACATATATATACATATAATATGTAATAAAAAGCACAAAAATACTAAAGAAAACAAGACCTTAAAAAACAGAATTGGCTAAATGGAAAAATCAGTACAAAAATTCACTGGTGAAAATAACTCCTTAAAAAAGCAGAATTGATCAAATGGGAAAAGAGGTACAAGGGCTCATTGAAGAAAATCATTCCCTAAAAATTAGAATTGAGTATGTGGAAGCTAATGACTCCATGAGACATCAAAAAACAATAAAACAAAGTCAAAAGAAAGGAAAAAATAGAAGAAAATTTGAAATATACAATTGAAAAAGCAACTGACCTGAAAAACATTGAGGAGAGATAATTTAAGAATTATTGAATGACCTGAAAGCTACAGTCAAAGTGTAGACATTATATTTTATGAGATTATTAAGTAAAACTGCCCCAATATCCTAGAACCAGAGGGTAAAATAGAAATCAAAAGAACCCACCAATCATCATCTGAAAGAGATCCCCAAATGAAAACTCCCAGGCATAGTATAGCCAAATTCCAGAGCTCCTAGGTCAAAGAGAAAATACTTCAAGCAGTCAGAAAGAAATAATTCAAATATCATGGAGCCACCATCAGAATCATGCAAGATTTAGCAGCTACCATGTTATAGAGGAGGGCTTAGAATATGATATTCCAGAAGGCAAAAGAGTTGGATTACAACCAAGAGTAATCTACCTAGCAAAACTGAGTATACAGCTTTAAGGGGAAAGTGCATATTTAATGAAATAGAGGACTTTTGAGCATTCCTGATGAAAAGACCAGAGCTGAATAGAAAATTTGACTTTCAAATACAAGATCCAAAAAAAAAAAAAGGATAAAAAGGTAAATGTGAAAGAGAAATCATAAGGGACTCAATAAGGTTAAACTGTTTACCTTTTTAGATGAGAAGATAAGACTTGTCAGTCCTAAGAATTTTATCATTATTAAGGCAGATAGAAGGTTTCTACATAGAAAAACAGTGTGGGAGTGAGTCAATTATGTTGGGATGATGTAAAAGAATGGATACTGGAGAAAGAGAGATGTCTTGGGAGAAGGGGGTAGGGAAAGGAAGAATGGGGGAATTATCTTACATAAATTATCTCTAGGAAGAGTTTTTACAATGGAGGGGGAAATGGGAGGGGCAAGCAATGCATGAACCTCACTCACATCTAAATTGGTTCAAAGAGGGAAAAATATATCTACATATTCAATTGTAATAGAAATCTATCTTACCCAACTGGGAAGTAGGAGGGGAAGGAGATAAGAGAAGGAGGGGGGTGACAATAGGGAGGGCAGATAAAAGAAGACAATGGTCAGAAGCAAAACAGACTTTAGGGGAGGATCAGGATAAAAAAGAGAGAGAAGGATAAATAGAAGAAAATAGGAATAAAGGGGAATGCACCAGTTAGCAGTCATAACTGTAAATGTGAATGGGATGAACCCACCCATCAAATGGAAGTGGATAGCAGAATGGATTAGAAAGCACAATCCAACAATATGTTGTTTACAAGAAACACACTTGAACCAGAGTCATACAGAGAGTTAGAAAAAGGGGCAAAAGGGGCTAGAGCAGAATGCATTATGCTTCAGGTGAAGTGTTTTTTTTTTTTGTTTTTTTAAGGCAAGAGTAACAATCATGATCTCAGACAAAGCAAAAGCAACAATAGACCTAATTAAAAGGAATAAGCAGGGAAACTATATCTTGGTAAAAGGTGCCATAAACAATAATGAAGTAACATCAATACTAAACATCTATGCACCAAATGTTATAGCATTCAAATTCTTAAAGAAAAAGTTAAATGAATTATAGGAGGAAATTGGTAGTAAAACCATTCTAGTGGCAGACCTCAGCTTTCCCTTTTCACAGCTAGAGAAATCTAACCATAAGAAAGAAGTTAAGGAGATGAACAGAATCTTAGAAAAGTTAGAATGACAGACCTCTGGAGAAAACTGAATGGTAACACAAAAAAGTATACCTTTTTTTTCCAGCTGTATGTGGCACCTTGACTAAAATTCATCATATATTGCAACATAAAAACCTCACAACCAAATGTTGAAAGGTAGAAATGTTAAATGCACCCTTTTCAG